CACTCTTTGAGCTATCCAATTTGGGCTGTATTTTTAGTGTGTCAACAGAATCACAACTTGATCAACATTTACTAATCCATGTTCTAGTTTCGAGTTTTTAGAAGAAGCAGTAATTGATTATACAATTTTTAACTTAAATTAATGACCTTTTGGATCAATGGTTGATTTTATATGATCAGTTAGAATAAAACTATGGACAGACGTAATCCGAAATTAAGGATACGAAAATCTTCTTAATTATAAAATATTCAGTTAATAACTTAGGTTTTGTGTTGGTCTACATAGACTTTGATTTTGGCTAACAGAATGTGGTAAAAAGTTATCGTTTAAGCAAAGTTTCTTATGATCTGCACTCGTTGAAAATATACACATTTATTTAAGCTAGTTCAAAAGCAATTCAAGTTTAAGGAAAATGATTAATTACTTTAGCTTTATACCCTTTCTTCTCATTTTCCAGATTTTAGCTTTGAGCGCCGCTCAACAGAGACTGCAGGTAATTTGTTTCTCTTCAATATTTTCTCACTCGATTTACTTTCGTTTCAACTTGAAATGCATTGTTAATACTGAGTTGGAATGACAAGCAACTCTAGATTCAGGCACACTTAGTGAGGCCGAATGTGACGGAAAGATCATACTGATTTTGAATCTTTTACAGGTGTATATAGTGTACCTGGGAGAACAAAGTCGGACAAAAACTTTTCAAGAAATCGAAGAATTCTATCACTCTTATCTGAATTCTGTAAAGGGTTCCAAAAGAGGAAGCTAAAAACTGTCTTATTTATTGCTATAAGAACGTCATCAATGGCTTCTCAGCATTGCTCACTCCAGAAGAAGCTTCCAAGCTTTCAGGTACATGCTTCAGATGTTAAAATAATCATACTCGACCTTATATACGTTCCTATTATATAAATAATTTGTTAGGCGGCCATTTTTCGTGTGACAAATGTAAGAATATCCAGTTAAAGATGAATGTAGCTATCACATTGAGTGTCAATAATTATAAATTTTGTGTTTGCTTTGCTTGTTTCTCGATTTAGGGATGGATGGTGTGATATCAGTGTTTCATACTGACCCGACAAAATTGAGGCTTCACACGACAAGATCATGGGATTTTATCAACTTACTTGAAGGAATTGGGAATTCAAGCTCTTCAAATGCAGAAGAATTATTGCGTAAAGCAAATTATGGGAAGGATATCGTTGTCGGGGTCTTAGGCACCGGTAATCTCAACAGGTTTTTATTTTCAGATCTACACGTTGATAACAAATTTATTACAATCAAGTTTAATTTTTTATTATTTGTATGATTTCTTTTCAATCCGCTTCTCGTCCATTAAAAAGCTTAAAAAATTAATGTTTTGATAAATTACTCTTTTAATTAAAAATGTAAATAGAGGAGAACTTATTTTTATAAAACAGTATGAGTTATTTTTGAAAGCATGTTTGGCTTAACTTCAATTACTGGTGAAAATTGAAAATAAATAAATTAGTTTTGATAAAAATAACGTTTTGGACTTGAAAAAGTTAGATATATTGTAACTTAGCGTGTTTGGAAATAAAAAGTTTCTTAAAAGTAACTTTGCATTTTTCTAGACCTATCCAAACACGCCCATCACGAGTTGAAATTTGATATCCCCATTTAGTTGTGTTCCTTAGCTATCTATTCATTAACATTTTGACAAATCATTACATCACCTCTTATTCGCAGATAGTACAACACAATACATAACACAACAATGAAATTCTTTGAAATGACATCCTCCTATTTGCTAGAAAGAGAATAAATACTAATATTTTAATGAAGAATAGCTAAAGGGACAACATACCCAACTTTGGACGAAAAAAAAAATAATTAATTGTTACTCAATGAGTAATTTTTTTTAAATTACTTGGCCAAACACGTAAAAATTTCACTTTCTTTTAACTGAAGCTATAGCGTCTATGTCAAGTATCTTAGTAATATCTATCTTCCGTTAGGTATATGGCCCGAATCCAAGAGTTTCATGTTAGCCCAAGAATAATTAACCAAGAGGGGGGTGAATTGGTTATTAAAATTTTTTCGTTTATTACTCTAGATTTTGATATAATGACTACGCAAATGATAGAGAATAGTCTAAGTACAAGAAAACAAACAAATGAAGCAATGTAGTTGAACGTGTAGTAAATGCGTTA